AATTGATTCCTAAAGATTTTTCTGAAGCCAGTCAATGGAGACAAAACCAGTTAAATTGATTCCTAAAGATTTTTCTGAAGCCATTCAATGGAGACAAAACCAGTTAAATTGATTCCTAAAGATTTTTCTGAAGCCAGTCAATGGAGACAAAACCAGTTAAATCGATTCCTAAAGATTTTTCTGAAGTCAGTCAATGGAGACAAAACCAGTTAAATCGATTCCTAAAGATTTTTCTAAAGCCAATCAATGGAGACAAAACCAGTTAAATCGATTCCTAAAGATTTTTCTGAAGCCAGTCAATGGAGACAAAACCAGTTAAATCGATTCCTAAAGATTTTTCTGAAGCCAGTCAATGGAGACAAAACCAGTTAAATCGATTCCTAAAGATTTTTCTGAAGCCAGTCAATGGAGACAAAACCAGTTAAATCGATTCTTAAAGATTTTTCTGATCCGAACCCGTCAATGGAGACAACCCGTCAATGAAGACAACCCGTCAATAAAGACAACCCGTCAATGAAGACAACCCGTCAATGAAGACAACCCGTCAATGAAGACAACCCGTCAATGAAGACAACCTGTCAACGAAGACAAAACTACCTACCAACAATCTCCAGATGGCATCTATAAGCCCATCCTCCTATCCATCATCTCTCTAAATGGCATCTGTAAGCCCATTCCCGACATCACAATGCCGATACTACACTATGCGAGTGCAAATTTCTAGGCACTTTAGTGTTCAATCATCTTCCACCTTCGGATCACGAAAGGCACACCAGCCAATCTACATCCTCAGGTTTAAGAAGATTGAACAGGGGCAACTGTTGTACCCCAAAATTTGCCCTCCCATATTCCTCAAGAATGATCTTTAAATTGCTCAAGATTGCTCAAGGGTTGTACAATCAAATCACCTCCTAAGGCAGTCAACTCAAAACTATGGTTTTGGTTCTCTCAAGAGATTTGGGGTTCTCAGTGGTTCAATCAAGTCTCATAGGCCTATATACATTCTCTAGCACCTACATGCCAAGTTGCAAGACTCACAGTGCCAATTTGCATAGTCAAAAGCCTCATTTGATCTACAGTCAACTGCAAGGGCAAAATGGTCATTTTGCAGTCAAAAGTCAGAATTTTTGGTCAATGTCTTATTTTGAGTTCACAATCATCATTTGATCAAGTCTTGATCATGATCCCACAAGGATAGCTCAAAAATCATCAAGGTGCAAAAGTTACTATTTTTGGACAGTAGAAAAGTCAACTGTACTTTGACAAGGGCATAACTCTTTCATGGTTTGTCAGAAAAATTCCATCCAAAGCTCATTTTGAAGAGGATGCAATTTCCTACAATCCATCTTCACACTCCAAGATCAAGAAATGCTCCCACACAAAGTTACAAATTTTTACATTATAGGTCAATTTCAAAAGTCAACAAAAGTACACTTTGAGTCAAAGGCCATAACTTGAGATTGGTAAATCCAAATTACATGAGACAAAAGGCATTGGTTAGAGGACTTCAAGAGCTTTCCAAAATGTCCAAGAACATGGTAATATGATCAAAATTGAGCAAGTTATGCATTGGAGAAGTTGGGAAATTTTCATGAATTTGCAAAAGTCAACTTTGCTCAAAACACCTTCTTTTTGCTAATGGGCCTCAAATCTCTTCTTGAAACTTCACCCATGACCTATGCACGACCCACCAAGCTTAATTGAATTTATTTTCTTAAATTTATTGATTAAATGGATTTTTAACATATTAATTCATTTAATTAATTTAAATCATAAGAAAATAGAAGATTTGATTTTTAAATCAATTTGTGAACCAAATATGATCCAAATATGCTGACCAATTCGTGCACAATAAAAAAGATACAAAAAAAAAATCCAAATTTGGCAACTTGTTCAATCATGGAAAATCAAGAATATTTGATTTATCAATCAAGGATTTAATCATCAATGCATATGGATATTGGCCCAGCTCTTGACCTAATTTCATTCCCTTATATGCAAGCAAGCAAACCATACCCTAGGACACGACTGAAAGGCTGCAGAAACAACCATACAATTTCAAGAATTTTCAAGAAAACTAAAAACTGGTTCTTGCATTCTAGGCCACTTCAAGGCGATTTGTCCATCCAAACACATTGCAGGAGGTACCAGGAACGATTTGCAATCAAATTCAAGCACTAAAGCTCAAGAAATCACTGAATACAGTTTCACGGTTTACACTTTTGATTCAAAACTATATCTCTTAATTCATGCGCATTTAACATGTTTTTGTGATTGTTTTGCATTGCTAAAGATCGTACAAAGCTAATGGAATGAATTAATTGAACTATAGTGCCCCGAATCGTGAGATGCCATGATTGAATTTCTAGGGTTTTCAAGATTTCAAATAGGGCTTTTCAATCCAGGAAAAATTGGGACTAATGAGATGCATGGTTGAATTCGTGAGGCCAAGACGATGGGAACCCATACCTCGCGAAATATTTATGTTTGCTATATTTCTATTCGCTATTTTTCCTTGCAGGAGGTAGTGGAGGTTAAAAACCCCCGCTATCTGATTCTAATTATGCAGGAAAAAGGTTGAAGACGATGACGTGTGGGCATCTGGTTCGTGGGTTTGAAAAAACGCGCGTTTTATTTTTTTTAGTACAGCGTATTATTTGTTTTCATATATAATTATTGTCTTTTATTTTAATACCAATTGAAGCAGCTTGGTTGGATGGTAAACGTGTTGGTCTGGAAGCCTTGGGACCTGGGTTCGAATCCCAGGTCCCCCAAAACATTTATTCCATTTTTCTTCCTATGTTCACATGCAGATTTCAAAAGATAGTCCACTATACATCTCCAATTCCCAAGCGCCAGATGTCTCCACACCTAAATCTAATGGCCAAGGCTGAGTCCTCACCATACTCCCTGGTCAACATACGTGTGGACAACTCAGAAAGTCAACAAGGCTGGAATGCATAGTGGGCCTTCAGAATTGCTGACTATACCTCCTATTGGGCCCAACACCCCCTGGGTTTATTTCCTTTTCTTCTTTTATATTTTTTATTTAATTGTTTTTTTATTAATTATTATTATTATTATTACTTAATTAACCAAATAATTTATTTTTCCTAATAAAATTCAGAAAACATAAAAAATATAATATTTTTATTTATTGAACTTAATTAGTTATTTTGTAAATAAATACTAACATAATTTGTTTAGTTTTAATTAGGTTAATTTTAACTTTTTTGCAACAAAAATAAAATTAATGTAGAATTAGGTTTTAACCATTTTAATCATATTATTTTTATTTTCTAAAACATTCAAAAAACTCAAAAAAATATTTCTTTTAATTAATTAATTAGTTTAGGTTTAATTTAATTCATAAATAATAAAAATCTCTTTCTTTCTCAAAAAAAGGGTCAAAACCCTAAAAACTCTCTGATTCATTTTTTCCCCGCGCGTATTATTTTTGATTCATAATTTTTGATCCATAATTGTATTTGCTCCGAGGATGTAATAGTTTTAATTAAGACCTTTTTTATCGCTTTTATTTAATTTCCCGCAATTTACTTTTTCAAGGGTTTGTTTTTGGCGATGTAAATACCCGACGCCTTGTAATAGCTTAGTTTTATTTTCCGCAACTATTAACTGCTAGATGTATGCTAACTAGGCTATGCATGACAAGATCTACTTTAAATTAAAAATCAATCGTAGCTCACCATAACATGTACAAAGATAACATAACTGAAACCTGACACACTTGCACATGCCACTCCTAGGGTACGCCTCACTTGGTTGCCTCGACGTGGTCATTGAGTATAAGAAGTTTTAGAGGTCACCCTCCTGTCTAAAGATCAAAGTTGCCTCGAAACGGTTGCCTCGAATAAAAACGATCTAAGACATTAGGGTTACCGCTAAGGCATCATACCATTGCTTTAGTGACCACATGTCCCTAAAATCGAATTGACCCGACAACTCCAACGACGGTGCTACCTACTCCTCAATAGTGGGATGGCATTGTCTAATGGACATTTGCACAGTTTAATTTCTTTTTGAGTAGGTAGATGTTCTTAAGTACTTGCTCTTTTGAAAACAAAAACAAAACTTTTCGCACTTACACTCTCTTTCAAACAAAAACTCTTTTCAAACCCACAATCACAAAGAAAAGCAAATTTTTGAAAACATAGTGAGCAAGTACCTAAGAGCCCGTGGACAACCACTGATAGAAAGGGTGCTAACACCTTCCCTTTCTATAATCTACCTCCCGAACCCAAGAAACATCTCAAAAAGGAATTTTGCTGTGCTTTTGTCCTTTCCTGGTTGGAGAAAATAAAAGACGGTGGCGACTCTTGCTTACCGCGACATTTTGCGAAACGCAAACGCGAACCAGCATTCCAAAAAGTCAGTTCTATTTCTACCGATCACACCGGCTGAAGTCAATCTTTAAGTGGGAGATTGTTGAAAAAATCATGAAAATCTTAAACACCACTAGTTATTAATGAAAAAGTTATTATAAGAAATAAAACTGATGCTTTGGAGAAAAGCATGCAGAGTGCTACGTTGTTTTGCTTTATTTGCTATAAATTAAGGCAAATGCATAAGCAATAAATATTTCAACATTAAGAGTCTTTTCATTGTGTATTTTATCTTTCATAAATAAAGTCTGCAGTTGTTATATGAACTTGTATTGTTATTATTTCACATTTTATACCGTTTTCTACGAATCTGATCATAGAAATTTTTTGCGTAGTTTCCTAACAGGAATATCATCATCGTCAAAATTGTTAATAGTTGTCTCTGCGTTGCAAGATCCTCCTTTACCATAGTGGCTTCAATGGTCTCACCGTCATCTAATTGCACTCATAACTGACATGACAAAACATATTCAAAGGCTGAAATAGCAAAACAAATCTTATTTTCAAATACAAATTCCATATTCAAAGGCTGATATAGCAATACACTTGAGCCCTAAGAAATTCTATATTTTTGACATGACAGCACATTTGACCATTTTAAGGATAAACAACAACCTTTCCTACACTAGAACCTCTTGTTTTACTCGAATCAAGAGGGAAGAAAAAAGGGTACAATTCATATCTAACATAACAAGAACTATACAAAACTCTACAACCCTTCCTATCATTACAAAAAGTTTGAAAATTGCTCACAGCAATAGCCAAACACTGAGCACAAGATACCTCATCCAAGTCCCTAGTACACTGAACCAAACCATAAACTGTCACAAACGGCGACAACACAGTTTTCCCTTTTCCAAGCCCTTTATCTTTAACCATAACAGCTTCTCCTCTAACTTGATCCATTAATGCTCCAAGTTTTTTATTAAAAACCTCAGAATCAGTTACATTTTCAGTGTTGAAATAAAATATACCAAAAGATGTATCAACTTCACCAATGAAACTCGTGTTACTATACCTTAAAAAACAATAATCATACCAAATTCTTGCGTCAGCTTGGTTCGGACAACGTTGTCGGATTTGTTTTGTTGCATCATGAATACAATTGGTGCAGTCTTGTGTGTTGATATCTCCTCTACATTGAGCTAAGCCATACACTTTGTCTTTGTTGTTACCATATGAAGTAGTAGTAAAGAAAGTGGAAGGTGTTTTAAGGGCTAGTTCAGATAATACTTTATCGATATTGGTTGATAATTTTCCTTCACTGCTGATGTTTGTGTTTTTATTGCAGAATTCTCCTGAAGGGTCTTGTGATATTGCACTTGAAGTGCATAGAATTGATAAGAAAATGATTTTGTATATTAGATACATTGTTTTTTTTCACTTGTGAGATTTCATAATGTTAGACTGTTGTTGCTTTTTATGAAGGGAAATTGTTGTGGGAGATAGTGGAGTGTGGAACCATTCAACAACAGCAGACAAGTTTGACTTCATATAATGCCTGCCTTTTCCACCACAATTGAGGGAAGATAAAAAAAGCATTATTGTTAAGTTTTTGTTGACTTTTTATAGTTGGAATTGATGATGATAATGACACTCATGATAGTTTATATGAAGGAAAATTTGATATGTAACTACAAATACTTCTGGATCAATAGAATATTCTTTAGGATGAATCGTAAAAATTATTCTAGATACCTTATGGAGATATTTATATAGGTCAGAATTCTTAGAGAATCATTGACAGATAGTCATCGATTTTGTAGTCAAAAGTTTTGATTATTAGATTAAATCCTTGTTGATACGGCAAAATTAATTTGATAGATGAGCTGAAAGTAACATTATTAATCACAAACCAAGATAAAAATACATGTGTTCTTTTTGTTATTGTATGCTTGTTGAATTTGGGTGTTCGAAAAGTTTTTATTCTAAACACTCAATTCAAACCTCTAAACCTTCTATAGCTATTAATCAAATCTAACACTTTATTAACCAGGTGTGTGAAATGTGTTAACCATTTAGCAAAAATGAATTAAGATTTACAAATTGATGTTCAACTAACATCTCTTCTTTTTTATCTATGTTCAGTAATCTACCTCATTTATTCTATTTTGGACCATATCCTCTATTGTACTTTCTTCATTTTCTTTATAATACAAGCGCCCAGAAAAATTGCAAAAGAAGAGAGGACTATATTTTACATAAAGAAGCCTTCTTGTTGAAAAATTACAAGGTTTCTTTATCAACATGTTATATCAAATACATTCAATTAGACCCAAACAATATTTTACATAAAAAATCACATTAAACTAAGAAAAATAAAATAAAAATTCCAATTTTGAACCGAATTTGAGGAGGAGTGCTATAATGGAAAATTTGTAACAAAGAGATGAAGAACCAGAGCGGGAATCGTGAAAAGTGGAAGATGCTGAGAGAAAATGTTAGAAATGCGTTTGTTTTCGGTGATTGATTCCAAAATGTTCTTGTAACTATTTACATCTAAAAATTTTATATCTGTCCAAAAAAATTTACTATTAGGATAAAAAATTAAATTTTTGTTTTAACTGAAAATTGTTTGCATTTTCAAAATTTTCGGTAGTTATTCATGGGATATTTTAAAATATTCGAGGTCATTTATCGAAAATTTTAAAATTTTTGGACGATTTCCTAAAAGTTATAGAATATTCTGGAATTTTTTCAGAATTTTCGGTACTAAGCATATATCCAGAAATTTTGCAGAGGCACAAAAATTCCAGTATGTCTTCGGATGAAATTTTGTATCAAGATGGTCCAAAATCGACCACTTCTTCTACGGATTCATGTACGGATTATACGCAGTTATTCACCACAGATATTATATATTTCCTATTGGTTTAATACAGTTTAATTTTTTTCCGACATTGAAATTGATAAAGTTTAATAATTATATGTTGTTATTGACAAATTTTTAGTTCCCGATATGAAGTTTTAGAATGGGCACAGTCTGTTGGTAAAATTGATAAAAAGCATGGTATTATTGTTGTTACAATCCATTCCGATTCTGCTAATGGAATAAGAGGAAGATAAATTAATTTTGGATTGTGAGAGAGGAGGAAATTACAAAAGACAAAAAACCTCTGAAAACATTAATTCCTCTTATGGCAATTATACTAAGAAGGTTAAATGTCTGATTAGGCTGAGATATATTTTAAGTGGTATAGGTTGGAAGTTGATGGTTAGATGCGAGATGCACAACCATAAATTAGACAAGGATTTGGAAGGCCATGACATATTGGGACGTCTAAAAGATCATGAAAGAAAGTTCGTGAATGACATGACAAAGTACAATATGGCTCCAAGGTATATAACTTATGCTTTGAAAGACAAAGATCCATAAAACCTCACAAGTATTTCCTAGGTATATAAAACTAGATCAACATACAGATTGGGCAAGAAAAGTGAATTGACATAAATGTAAATGTTATTGAGCCTTGTTCACAAAGAGAAATACACGTGTTGGACAAAAAATTGGGAGAACTCGAATATTATAGCTGATATTTTCTAGACACGTCCTGATTTTGTAAAGCTGTTAAATATGTTTTATCTGGTGTTGATTTTTGATTGCACGTACAAGACAAATAGATAAGAACTTTACTTTTGGAATCCTAAAATATATTGTAAATGTTGTGTCAGCTGGTTGGTAATGTGTACTTTAATCTTGCAGGTACCAGTTACCATTGCTTGAGATTGTTGGTGTTACGTCAACTAAGTTGACATTTCTAGTTGTCTATATTATGCATTGATATAACACCTCATTTTATGCTAAGTTTCACGATTTTGTCTCAAGACAATGTGTACAACTCATTGGAAATGAACTAAAAAGGATAAAATCTGGTAGTTCAAGCCAAGAGGGGTGTGGTTGTTTCATTAGAACAACACATGGGTTACCGTGTGTGTGTCACCTTGGTAGTTTCCAAATTCTAGGCGACCCTATTCCTTTAGACTCAATTCATGTATTCTGGACGAAATTGCACATTGAAGAACATGATGTCAATCATGATGAGAGTAGTAAAAAGTGGGATTTAGAAGAAGAGTGTGAAGAATTGAAGAGATATTCCAGTACTTTAGATATTATGGGTCAGAGGATGTTGAAGAAAAAAGTTTATGATCTAACATATCCATCCACAACTTTAATGTGTCCACAGCCAGTGAAGTACAAGCAAAAGGGGGAGTTAAGAAGAGTATAAAGGGTAAGGAGAGTGATGTGCATCGTGATCTTAACTAGTGAAAATATGTTAAGGCTTCACAGGAGAGTCAGACTACAAAGAGATCATGCATAAAACCAACTGGAAGTCAATCGGCAAGCATGTCGATTGTTAGGCAACCTTCTACCAATTCTTCAAGAGATAAATACTTGTCCCAATTTCCTGTTTTCTTGCTTCTGTACATCAATGACATTATTGATGTTGATAACGATGGAAATTATGGTTTATGGTGTATCTTATCTTTATTAGGATGGGATGAAAATTTATGGTCTTTGGTTCATACGCAAAAGTTCACCAACACTCTGAGTTGTAAGTTGTTCAATGACACTGTCTCTACAATTAGGAATATGTTGCGAGTAGAACACTTGGGCATGCAGGACAAGAAAAAATGGATAATAATTCCTGATATGGGTTACCCTATTTCTTTTAAATATAATATCGTATTTGTTTCCCTTTCTGTGACACTTAACGTCACGTTTTCCCCCTTATCATAGCTCCATCCATGTATATGGGCAGACATACAATTATTGTTATTGGTTTTGTCAACCCCAATCATTGGGTTCAGGTAAACTGAAACCCGATTACCCATTGCCTCCCATCACAGACCGTTGGAGACAGAATTGTGTACTACTGATGCGAAATCATGAGAATCAGCATATGCAGGTCGCTTTAGACACTGGAAAGTTTTGTGTAAGAAGTGATTTGTTTTTTATGCTTATATGTATGACCGTTATTCTATTTATATATTTTGTCGGGTAGTTATTTTATCGTTTCAATTTTATAAGACAAAGGTATGAAAAATAGGGAAAAAAATAAACATTTAGTATTACTGAAAAATTGAAATTTCTGGAATTTTTAGCACTACCAAGAATTTAGAAAATTTATGTACAATATTAGTACTCCTCGAAAATTTGACATTTTCGATTCTGGAAATTTAAAGTTCCTGGTAGCTCTTCAGCACGTTAATAAACAATAAATTCATTGAAATACTCGGTATTATGTCGAAATTTCCGGTATAGCCCTGAAAATTTTAAATTCTTCGGTATATTTGGGGGTTTTATAGTAAAAGTACTAGAAATAGGGGTGTCAGGTTCAACTATGGGGGTGTCAAGTTAAAACCTCGAGTTGTGTCTGTGATGTGTTCGTCGAATGTCCATTTATTTTATTTTTATAGGAATCAAATCAATTATAATTTTTTTTGTCATTAAAAAATATATATATCCTCCCTTCGTCTCTCCCCGTCTCATAAAAAGTGTTTCTTTTGTATTTTTTTCTCTGTTTCAAAATAATTATCAATTTACAATATCAATGCAACATTTATTATTTTTTTCCACTACTTTACCTCTATTTATTAACTTTCACTTTATCCAATCACTCTTTTAAAAACTAATAAGGATATTTTAGTAAAAGTTATTAGTTTTATTATTAAAACTAACACATCTAATCATTTTTCTTAGAACTGTGTTATGACACTTTTTTTGAGACGGAAATAATATATATTATAAATTAAAATATATATTTATAAATTATTTTTTCTACAGTTTAATTTTATTTTGATTATTGGACGACTGGTTGTTAATCTAATTTGTATGTAAGAAAAGTTTTTATGAACATAAATATTATAATTATAAAATTTAAAGAATCTTCTATAAAATCTAATAAATTTTCTATCAAGAATCACAATAAGTACATATGGTGGGTTGGAAAGGTCAACGATCTAAATATGCAATTAACTCAATGAAAATTGGTGTGACTCAATCAGTTCAACGAACAAACTAGTAAATCAGTGGGTATAATTGAACCGATAGGTTGTACTTTTTTCACTAACATATTTTTCAAAGTCCTAAGAATCTATTTTTCATCCATTAATTCACTTCAAACACTTCACTCTTATAATCAATCTTCTTTCCTATTAAGTATGGTTATGTTAGAATTAAGATGGATATGACAAAAATTTATGAAAGGTTTGAATGAAATTTCATTAATCATACTCTTATATTCTTAGGTTTTCCTACTAATATTGCTAGAACTATTATGCAATGTATTATTATGGTTAGATTTTAATTAGGTCATCATGGAGAGCATCCAAATTGGGTTAAGAGCAACACACAAGTGAAAAAGACACCA